CTCTGCAGTGAATGGGTGCCGTCAGAATGAGATAAAAAACATTACGATAATCCACACGATTACAGTCCAATGGTGGACTTACAAACTTACAAACACACTGCTTTTCACTTCACAAGACAGCTGTTTGGACTCTCATTCTGACGGCACCCATTCACTGCAGAGGAACCGTTGCTGAGCAAGAGAAGTAATGCTAAATTTCTCCAAATCTGTTCTGATGAACAAACTAATCTACATCTTGGATGGCCTGAGGATGAGTACATTTTCAGCAAATTTTTGAGTGAATTATTCCTTTAAGTAGACATATTTTATTTAAAATCGTTTACAGTGGCTTGGCTTGACTAGGTCCAGAAAACCAACTGTTACCGTTACTAATCTCCTATATTTCCAAAATGTAATACTTCCCTCTGTCACATGGCTAAAGGTATGGATTATTGTGATGTTTTTATCAGCTGTTTGGACTCTCATTCTGACGGCACCCATTCACTGCAGAGGAACCGTTGCTGAGCAAGAGAAGTAATGCTACATTTCTCCAAATCTGTTCTGATGAACAAACTAATCTACATCTTGGATGGCCTGAGGATGAGTACATTTTCAGCAAATTTTTGAGTGAATTATTCCTTTAAGTAGACATATTTTATTTAAAATCGTTTACAGTGGCTTGGCTTGACTAGGTCCAGAAAACCAACTGTTACCGTTACTAATCTCCTATATTTCCAAAATGTAATACTTCCCTCTGTCACATGGCTAAAATGAATATTATACAACTTAAATTAAATTATGAACTACTTCTTTAAAATAAAAAAATCTTTTTTGGCATTTTGACTATTTCAATCAGTTGTATCCAAATGTAAAGGAAGAAAAATTGTTTGAAATGCTAAAACGGGTGTTAATAGTTCAGTACGCGTGATGTCAGTATATTCGTTCCATTTCTTTTACTTCAAGGAACCTGTAATAATAACGCTGTTATATTATATGCAATCTACAGTCTTGATCTGTAATACTAATGTGGCATCATCCATATTTTTCTGGGAAAAATTAGGTCTATAACAAGAGCTAAGCACTATCATCTACAGTTAGCAGCAGTACACAGGGCACTGTTAAGAGATCGTCCATTCAGATCCCTACTGCAGTCTCAGCTGGCATAAGAAATACGAAAGAAAAGCAGAAAACTTACCCTCAAAAGGTTTCTAATGCATGTAATACCTCATTCTCAAACACGTTTGAATATTAAATTAGCCGTAAGAACGACAAAGGTTGCAGTTGGCACTTTCCATGTTAGCTCAGCAACTTCAGAGGGAGTGAAAATATGTCTCTTCCAGTGTATCTCACATAAATCATTGCTATTTTGTGGAAAACATTGAAAATCCACTGAAGACATTGATGTGGAAAATATTGCTTAACGCTAGAGGGAATCGTTGATGACAGAATTTTTCATCCCATGAAAGTACTGTCGAAACAATGGAAGGCCGGTCCTGACTGGCCCATCATATGATGAAACGAGGGTTTGTCGTACATGCACAAAAGAAGAGAAGAAAGCAAGGAGAAGTTTAGAGGACCAGTATCATTCCTGAGTTGAATCGAGCAGGGGTGGTGATCTCTACTCAAGTTTCTGCTGGAGTTTCTTCTGAAAGCAGACGGGCAGGATGGAGACCACGGCTAAAACCCCCAACACGAGAAGAGAGTTCCAGGACACGGCCTCGCCAGCTGTGGCCAGCTTGTACAACGTCGTCCCTGCGTTTATCGCCACAAACGATGGAGGGGCCACTCCTATAGTAGAGATCAGATAACAGCCATTAGACGAGCTGTCAAGTGATCAAATAACAAAGTGTGCACAATCTCAATTAACCCTCTAGTGGCATTTAATCATTTTAGCCCGAAAAAAAGTATGTTTTCAGTTTTTACATTTTTTATACTTCATCAGAGTGGTATGAAACTTGGTGACATGATTAGAAAAGGCTAATGGTTTTAAAAAAAGAGCATGGTATATATTTAAATATAAGGCTACACAGGTACAGCTACATCTAGTGGTTACCCCATAGCATTACTGTGCATATGATTTTCTTTAGGCAGCGTTGTGTAAATAATAGTGCTGTCAAACGATTAATCGTGATTAATCGCATCCAAAATAAAAGTTTTTGTTTACATAATATATGTGTGTATACTGTGTATATTTATTATGTATATATAAATACAAACACATGTATATATTTAAGAAAAATATGTTATGTTTATATTTTAAATATATTTATATATAATATAAATATAAAAGAATATAAATATATATACACATGTAAATATTTTCAAAATATTTACTGTATGTGTGTGTATTTATATATACATAATAAATATACACAGTACACACACATATTATGTAAACAAAAACTTTTATTTTGGATGCGATTAATCACGATTAATCGTTTGACAGCACTAGTAAATAAATAGCAATGGATTCTATTAACACGAAGTGAAAATAGCAGTATTTTTTCAGCGATATGCTATTTACACTAAGTGCAAAAAGCTATAGATTCTATTTACACTGTTAAATTAGCAAGATTTTCTGCTATTTATACTACTTATTGCAAATAGTGGCAATTATCTGCACCTCAGTATTGTAGTGCATTATAAAACAGTATACAATAATAACGTATTAAGTGTAAATTATCATTTGAATTCAAATTATTAAATGGATGCCACCTTATTGCGACAACAAAGCCCTCCCTACACCTACCTTAACCCTGCACGATACTTTATGTTCAACTTTTCGATTATTTCCTTAATTTTTATTGAAAATAAATGCCTTTCCGATGGGATATGAGATCTGAAAAGGGAGAAAAAAGTTTGGCAAAAGGCGGGTTCGAACTCTGGTCGATTGCGTCAAAATG